ACCCCAAACCCCCAGACCTGTGCATCTGCTGGCCCCATAGACACCTCCCCTCATTCCAGATTCAGGCTGTCACCCTACCCAAGCCCTCTCCCAGCACCTCCCTCCACTTCCACCAGCCAACAGCTATTCCAGGATCAGCCCGGGGCTATGCGTGGCGGCCACTCAGTGGTTTCACTTATCCTAGGGACGCCACCTTCTCCCCGCTGTGCTGAAGCCCACCCTGCTCAATGCCTCTTGCTGGGATGACTGAAACCGCCCCCTCACCAAGCCCTCAGCCCTGGTCCCCCAGGCAGCCCAATGGAGCATCCTAAACAAATCGAGAGGCGACACCGACCCCTTTGGCCCTTCTCATAACCAGTGAGGGTAGTGCAGCCGACGGTACCTGCAGTTCCATTTCTGAACAGACCCGTCTACTCGCATCCTGGGGGCAGGGGAAAGGAAGCAGGGAAGGTTGGATCATGGTCCCACAAAAAATCTGGAAGGACTTTTCTTGGGGAGAAGTGGTCAGGAACCAAGTGTGATGAACAAAAGGGGAAAGAATTACCTGAGGCGTGATGTATTACTTTTGTTTTTTTCTTTTCTAAGACAGGGTCTCACTGTGTTGCCCAGGCTGGAGTGCCAATGGTTCAATCTTGGCTCACTTCAACCTCCGCCTCCCAGGTTCAAGCGATCCTCCCGCCTTAGCCTCCTGAATAGCTGGGATTACATGTGTCTGCCACCACGCCCGGCTAATTTTTGTATTTTTAGTAAAGATGGGTTTTGCCATTTTGGCCAGGTTGGTCTTGAACTTCCAGCCTCAAATGATCTGCCCACCTCAGCCTCCCAAAGTGCTGGGATTACAGACATAAGCCACCACGCCTGGCCTTAATTTAAATTTTTTTAGATGCGGTCTTACTATGTTGCCCAGGCTGGACTCCAACCCCTGGCCTCAAGCAATCCTCCTGCCTCAGCCTCCTGAATAGCAGGGACTCCAGGTGTGCACCACTGCACCACACTTATTTTACATTTTTAACACGGAAAATGTTTGTATCATCCTGGGTTTTAAAATTAACTTTAAAGTACTGAGCAGCCTGGCCAACACAGTGAAACCTCATTTCTACTAAAAATACAAAAAATCAGCCAGGTGTGGTGGTGGACGCCTGTAATCCCCTCTACTCAGGAGACTGAGGTAGGAGGATGGCTTGAACCTAGGAGGTGGAGGTTGCAGTGAGCCAAGACTGTGCCATTGGACTCCAGCCTGGGTGACAGAGAGAGACTGCATCTCAATAAATTTAAAAAAATAGAGACCACATGGCATAAAAAATATTGTCCATCTGGCCCTCTGCACAGTTTGCCCACCCCAAGTTTAAAGGCGTCTGTCTTGTCCTGATGCCTCTCCCAGAACACCATGCCCCCTTCAGCCTGCAGACAGCCTCCAACTGTGGTTCCAGACCTGCCAGCATTTCCCACCAACTCTTTCTGTCTGCTTTATTTCTCCCTGCCACCACCCCTGGCCTCACTCAACCCCCAACCCTATGGCCAGTCCCGCCCCCACCGTCCCACTCTATTATAAACACATGTGGACCTGAGGCCCCCACACAAGACACAAGACACACTTGGGTAGGGGGCTCTCTGTATCCTTTATCTCCAGCGGGGTCAGCGGCCCTCCAGGGCCCGGTCTCGGGCGATGACCGCCTCCTCGAACTTGATCATGAGCGTGGTGCCCTTGTGCCAGTGCGCCGTGACCTTGGCAGGGAAGCCGCTGTGTGTGAGCACTGCCTCCACGATGCCCGCCGTGAAGCTGGCACAGTTGAGCGTGCTGTTCTCCTTGGGCACGGAGATGTAGGTGTTGATGAGCGGCTCACGCTCGATGATGTAGAAGGTGCGCGCGTCATCGTTGGCCTGCTCCAGCTTGTCCGCTTCCTTGCCGAAGAGCGCCTTCCACACCGAGCCTTTTACGAAGAGCAGCGCACCCAGCACCTTGGTCTCGCGCCGGGCCCCCTTTTCTCGCGCCACCAGCGCATCCAGCACACGCGCGCCCACCTGGCGGCCCAGCGCTGCGAGTCGCGCCTGCAGCTCAGCCACGGAGAAGACGCGGCTCTGGCAGTGCTGCACCAGCTCAGAGAATAGCAATGCGAAGGCGCTCAGGCTCACCTCGGTGCGCGGCCGTGCCAGCGCGCGCTCCAGCAGAGCCGACTTCCCGCGCGTGAAGCGCGCCTCCATCCCACCAATGCCCTGCGGGGAGACCAGGAAGCATGGGTGTTAGGGGCAATGGGAAGGGGACCAGGCGGGGAGGGAAGGAGGGAGAACAGCGAGGGCCCCTGGGACACCGTCACCCCACACCACCATTGTATGCTCCAGCGCTGACTTCCCACATGCAAAGATATGCGCGTAAAACACGCCTCGATGGGCCGGGTGCGGTGGCTGACGCCCGTAATCCCACAGCACTTTGGGAGAACCAGGCAGGCGGATCACCTGAGGTCGGGAGTTCGAGACCAGGCTTACCAACATGGTGAAACCCCGTCTCTACTATAAATACAAAATTAGCCGGGCCTGATGGAGCATGCCTGTAATCCCAGCTACTTGGGAGGCTAAGGCAGGAGACTCCCTTGAACACGGGAGGCGGAGCCTGCGGTGAGCCGAGATCGAGCCATTGCCCTCCAGTCCGGGCAATAAGAGCGAAACTCCGTCTCAAAAACAAAAACACACCTCGATTACACGTAACCAGATAATTCAGGGAAGGGGGGAGGCTTATACCTTCAGCAGGCAGCGGGCTAGGGGGAGTGAGGGAAAGGGGGAGACACGAGGGGTAACAGAAGAGGGCGCCAGAAACCACACAATCTTCGATCACCCAGACAATTCAATTGTGAAAAGCGCCTTCCTGCCAGCTCCACCACCTACGGGAGTAACTAGGAAAGTGGCTTATGAGGGGAGGGGCGTCAGATCTAAGGCAGGGAGGTGACAAAGATGAGCCACCACGAGGGGACATGGACAGTCGCCCCTGCTCCGCCATGCACTCCAGCACTGACGACCCTCGGGAAATTTCCCGCCCGCCCCCCCTTGCGGAAAGCCAGAGTAAAAGGGGTGGAGGGTGGGAGCGGGGTAGGAGCGCGTCAAGACCAAAGGCCAGGAGGGTTGGGGGTTTGAACAGGCGAGAGCCGTGGGGCCAGGCAGGAGGGGCAGGGAACCCCCAACCCCAAGCCCTTGGGCAGCTCCAATGTGTCACGCAGGAAGCCCCCGTCCTTTGAGACACGGAAGGGCCTGGGTTCTGAAGGCTGGGAGGAGGGGCCCAGAGAAGGTGTTGGGAGCCTCCCCCTCTCCCCCCGCCCCACCTCCCCGTGCTCTCCAGAGAGGAAGCTAGATGCTGAGAAACTGTGGTCCTCCCATCAGCTGTGGGTGTAGGGAGAGGGAGATCGGGTACGGGGCTCCTGGAGAGAAACGGGGGGGGGGGTCAGGCACCGAGACGGGATCGGAGGGGCAGCTGAGAACCCCGCCTCCACCATGAGTAGGGTGGTCTGAGGATGCTGAGCCGGCCCCAGTGAGGTCTGCGTGGGAGGGGGAGGACCAGCGGGGAGGGGGGTCCCAGGGGCTCCGGGCAGCCTCCGCCCCAGCATGCAGATCCGTCCGTGGGGAAAGCCCTGGGCACGCGAGATGAGAGGGAGATGTTAAGACCCCACCACCGGGCTGCGACGGGGGTGGGTGAAGTGAGCTGAACCACCGCAGGGCGGGGACCCCGCGACCCTCGCCCCGGACCTCTACACTGGGGAGAAACCCACCCTCCTCGCAGCCTCCTGAGAGGGACCAAAGAGAGCGGATCCGGAATCGCGGACGCCGAGACCCAGTCCGGGACCCACAGGTCCGCGGGAAAGGCTGGGGAGCGGAGGAGGCCGGGCACGGGTAGGGGGCGCGGGCGAGGTCTCACCTAGTGCCGCAGCTGTCGGCTCGGCCGAGCTGCTTTACGGCGTCGTGAAAGGCGCTGCGTGCGCAGGCGCGCGACGGGCGGGCGTGTGGGCGGGGCGAGCGCGGCGGTGACAGAGAGCCGCCGCAGAGGGGCGCGTGAGTCCGCTGAGCGGGACCCAGGCTGCGATCATGGCCCGCGGCTGTGATCGCAGCTTCGCGCGTGGCCAGGGTCTCGCTGGCTCTGGGTGGCCCACGCTGGAGGGGACGCTTGCAGGCCTGGTCACCTGCTCAGGGCACACGTATGACAATGGGGTCCATGTACTCCCTTGCCCGTGGACACACCTGCTCACGTTTGCAGGCATTCCTATGTCCTTGGGGTTGTGTTCTATTGTCTCAAAGATCATCCATGTGGCTGGGCACAGTGGCTCTGGCCTGTAATCCCAGCATTTTCGGAGGCCGAGGTGAGAGGATCACTTGATGCCAGGAGTTTAAGACCAGCCTGGCCAACACGGGGAGACTCCACCTCTTTATAAAAAATTAGCCAAGTGTGGAGGTGTGAACCTGCAATCCTAGCTACTCGAGAGGCTGAGGCAGGAGGATTGCCTGAGCCCAGGAGGTCGAGGCTGCGATGAGTCATGATTGTACCACTGCACTCCAGCCTAGGTGACAGAGTAAGACCCTGTCTCATATCACTGCATTCCAGCCTAGATGACAGAGCAAGACCTGTCTCAAAAACGAAACAAAAAACAAACAAAAAAACAAATCAAGTACAGGCATGAGCGGTGGGCATAGTACATTAGGGTCATGTACACTTATGGATACATGCTCAGTGGCACAGATACACTCACGGGCACAATTGCACTCGTGGGTACACACTTATGGCTTGTATATATCCACGGGCCCAGGTGCACTCAGGGAGACGTTGTACGCTCAGGGGCATCCACTCTGGGACACAGGGAATGAGTTACCTGTTCCCGGACACACAGGTACTCACCCAGGGCACTCAGTTTCCCCCACTCTCATGCCTCGGGGTCTTTGTTACATGCAGACTCTCCCTCTTCCCAGGTCCCAAACACCCTCCAGTTGCCCCAGTAACAGGCGCCATAGCGACACAGTTTTCTCTTTATTTCTCTTCATGAGTCACAAAATGTGAGTGCAGAAATAAATGACTGTCTGTGTGCATGTGTCCTGAACACACAGGATGGCATAAGTCAGCACACTCATAATGACACAGCCGTTCACCCAGGCACAGGTAGTGACAGGGCACACACGGTGACACTCATACACACAGAGATACATTTCCATAGTGTGCACATCTCCCCCCCCCCATAACATGTAGACCCACAACATGCCGCAGTACACTCAGGCACGTTTACACAAACAGGGAGATGGCCCCGTGCAGTGCATGTCACTGACACCCACACTCAGAGTGACATCTGTTGGACGTCCTCAGACACAGCCAACTGCCGTGACATGCCAAGACTCATACATGTCACATGACATAGGCATGCATGCCACACTCACTGTGACTCTCATGGTCCTATTCATTCATCACCTTTCTGGGGGACACACTGAAATGGCCACCCTCAGCAAAATGCACACACATACATGCACGTGCACACACGCGCACACACAGGCACACAAGCAGCTCTGAGACACTCATTCACCATGACTAGAGGTTTTTCTATATGCAGGATGAGGGGTAAATTCACACTAGGCTGGAAGGGGGTCATTTCCCATCTTCATCGGCAGGTGCAACCCCATCTTGCAAGCTGTAGATTTGGCTGCCACAATGTCCCCTCCTTTATTTAGATGAAGACTCTGGGGTTGGGGAGAGACCCACAGTGAGACAGATCCCACCCCTGGGAGAGAAGCTGGCGCTAAATCAGAAGCCCCACCCAGCCACCCTCATCCACCTCCCCCTGGGGCCCCAACTTACTTGACATTTTCTCCAGCACCTCCAAGATTCTCTGTACCTTTGTCTCAATGTTTTTTATGTCTGGCAGGTGGGGAGGGTTGAGTGAGGACAGATCAGACAAGCTGTGCTGGAGCCTCAAACAAAGCCCCCACCTTCCTTGGAAGCCCCCTCCCTGCCCCATGCCCGAATTTGAGGTCCCCAGGAGA